GGGGGGCCCCCCCCTCCCCCCCTCCCCCCCCCCCCCCCCCCCGTCCACCCCTGCCCACTCCCCCCCCCTCCCCACCGTCCCCTCTCGCTGCTGCAGCGAGGATGAGCGGGACGCATACGTAATGGCCTATTGAATAATCAATTTTGCCTGTTTACTCGGTTTACTGTTTACACATCGCGCTTCGTGTGCTTTGGGTTCCATTATGAGAGAAATCATAGAGGTTTCCTTATCGTTACGTAAAAGTCGCAGTAATGAACCCTTACATTCCTAATAGCAAGGCAAATGAAATCACTTTTTCCAGAAATCAGTAGACGATTGATACTTCTTTAAATACTTCCGCGATATCGTCCGCGAGAGATCGCAGAAACATACGCTGTAAGATACATCGAGTTTGAAAATAGGTTCCTTACCTTAGACACGTTAACGATTTATGTTATCGGTTCGTTTTCGTGCCGCAAGACAGGTAAGCAACGGAATGGAATCGGCTCGACGTATATAGTCCACGTAATGGAACAGGCCCGAGTTTATCTTCTTCGTGACTTCATAAATCCTTGATAGAATTCACAAGGAAAGCCAGGAAGGCCGTCACTATTTAATGTAGTTTTCGCATGCGGGGAAGAATCGATCTGATAAATCCCGTTCCCCAGAGAACCGATTTTATCGCACTTCCTAATCACCCTCATTCCAGCATGAAAGCCGACTCACGGAGCCTTCAAAAAACGGAAATGGAAAGCTGCTTTCCGATGGAAGGAAAAACAGGAGCCATTCTCTTTCCAGGAGCCATTCCCTTTAAATCTCTCCTCCATGGACCCATCGCTCAGATCCTGATACGCAGAAGCCAAACTCTTCGTTTCTCTCTGAGCACGTTTCACACACTCGAGATGCCAGGCTCAAGCAACCTGGCACTAACCGTGCCAAGCACTAGCGCTGCCTGACATGAACCGGATCGGGGTTTCGCACCCATCAGGTTTAACCACAGCGTTTCGCTAGCCCATGCGGTCACTACAGCAGAAAAAAATCTGGGGTCAGAGAATCCGATGAGGCATATGAGAGGAGTGAAAGAGAGATTAATATCTCACGAAGCTCGCCTCTCTTCTTAGAAGTTGCTGAGGGCAATCTAAAGTTAACGGATATTACACGTCCGAAACAGAATTACGAAATACGCTCTTTGACGGCTTGGGCTCTGTTCGACAAAGCCCCCTGATACTTTAATCCGTACTTTGAGGGTTTTCACGATCGAATACAGATGTTCCACGAGGAGAAATCCCGCGGGGATTTCCGATACCAGGGTATAAAAGGATCAACCGATCGCTTATGTGCTTCTATTTCCTCAAGCGTTAAAGTTCTGCCATCTCCTCGCAAACACAAAAAATATATCACGAAAATCCCTTTCTCTTTCTCTTTCTTTTTTTTTTTTTTTCTTGGGGGGGGGGGGGGGGGGAAAGCCTCCCTTCCCCCCCCCCCCCCCCCCTCCCCCCCCCCCCCCCCCCCCCTTCCCCCCCCCCCCCCCCCCCCCCCAAACACGGTCTCCGGCTACGGCCCCCGCGTGCAGTTACGAGTCTGTTCTGAGAGACACTCAGCATGGTTTCCTCTACGGCATGTATGGACCTTCCCATTCCATTTCCTCCATGTAACGGGGATTTGATTGCTTCTCCATACTATCTGTCTCGAGAAATTTCTCATTGGAAGCCTCCGCTGCAAAACTAACAGTCATCATTCTTCTCCCTCTGCCTTGTCGATCGCTCGGATTTCGAATTTCCATCGTGCAAATATGGCACGTGACAGGCACGCAGTTCCATTCATCACCAGAGAATTAATTTGAAAACTAAAATATGAGGGGTGAAAACCCTTTTTTCCTAGTTTCCATGCAAATCGGTGAATCCTCTCAGGGTCCCCTCAGCATCTCTCCTTTTTAAATTATTTATCCCTCTTTCGTGGCGCTATTTCCTTGGAAAGAGGCTCGGCGAAGGATAATTGGAGAAGTGACTCACGAGAATTTTTTCTCCAGCTTCCATTGCCACGTGCTCCAAACCCCAAGGCAGGTATCATCCGAGCCGGAAAAGAGAAACCGGCCGCACCGGCTCAACCGGACGCACCTCACCGGCCCCGTGTGACCTCAACGAATCCCACCCGTGAATTTCATTCGAACCAAGAAAAAGAAAAGTCGAGAGAGCCATTTACCTTTCAATGTGTGCAGGAGCCGGTTCCCCTGCACGTGCCAGACCTGCAGGATGCCGTCGGCGGTGACGAGGACGCACTGCTGGTCTCCGTTCACCGGCAACGCCGCCTTCACCTCCTTCCCCGCCTCCACTCCTTTAAAGATAATCCTCTTAAAGGTCGCTCGATCGACTCGGTTGCTCGATGGTCGCTGGCGTTGCGACCGATCGAAGTTCGCACTGGCAAGTTTTCTCTTTAACTTTTCATTTCGGCTTGCTGAAAAAACTTTCTCAGCGGGGACGCCCTTCAAAGTTTTATTTACGAGGTTTTTCATGCTCGGGGAGTTATCTTTGAAAGTTTTCCTTTTTAAAATTTCTATATTGAGCAATTCATTCATTTTCAAAAGAACTTTCTGGTAGGGCGAGCTACAGCGCGATAGGAATCCAGCAAAAAAAAAGCGAAAAAGAAAAAGAGATTTCCCCCAGAAAAAAGTGAGATTGATGGAACCCGGGGGAAACGCGATACCGTCTGAAGGGCCGACAGAGACCACCGACTGAAGGGCCGACAGAGACCACCGACTGAAGGGCCGACAGAAACCACCTGCTTCAATGGAACAGCGGAAGGTTGTTTCCTGTTGAGAATTTAATGCGGCGAAGGCTCTGAGGAGGGATTCGCAAACCCCATCAACGGCTCAAGAGACTCCGACATATCAGATGTGCTGCTTCCTGTCGTGTAAACCAGGTTCTTTCCCTCTTCTTTAGCACGCCCTCAGATCTTATCATCTCGGTGTAATTATTTATTAATTTTTTATTCAGCGGAAATCGTGAAGCGATCGCTCCACTTTGAGTCCAGTGCGCCTGGAATGAGCTGGCAATCGGAAATTGCCCTAGGATGCGATGAGAATTGCCCTGGGTCTAAAAAAGGAGATCATTGACAACAGATGGCCATCGAGGCTATCAAATGACCATCGAGGTTATCAAATGACCATCGAGGTTATCAGATAGCCATCGAGGTCATCAGGTTAAACCCGGTCCTCCGTTTCAATTCTGAACGAAAACGTCTTCACGGTCTTCACTTCAAGATTTTATTGTCTTCCTGACAATACCTCTGACCTGACCTGACAATACCTGCCAATACCAACAAAGTTACCTGCGCCTTCGAGAAAAAGCAAGACTGCCTCATGAGACACCACTATCTCGCAGAGACAATAAAAGAATAAGCAAGAATTGTGCTTGCCGAGGCAGGGAAGAAATTCCCAAAAGCCTTTCATCACACATTCGGGGGAACTCTATTTACTCATTCTATTATCGTGGCTCTTTCTTCCCGCATCGCTTCTCAACAAGTGGCTGGATCGGTTTCACCCTTCGGGCGGATGCGAAAAGAATCCTAATGTTGAGTCTGACGTTCTTGCAAACCAAAACGATGGATTTCGGAATCGGTGAATCGTAACCAGACTTTTTTTCAAGTGCCTCCATCGATCTCACCGGAGTCGATTGGTAAATTAAATATTACTTTTTGGTATTCCAAAAATGAACCGAAACTACGGAAAGTTATTCGAAACAAGTTGGCACAGCCAAGTTTGGGCAGAATAAAGTTCGTTAAAAGTTTTATTTTTAGCCTCAATCAAGCAAAAGGGCAACGTTGGATTGGAGTCCAGGCTAAGTTATTTATGCTAGACGGGAATTAGAAGAGGGAAGGGGGAAAGGCCAATGGTCAATCTGAAGGTCAATGGCCAATCCGACTGCCAATTCCACGTGGAATGTCAACAGGTAATACATCTGATCGGTCAAGCGCTGTGTGAAGATCCCCAGAAAGTCCTAGACCAGCCAACGTTGAGCGATTCCTTGCAGCAATTCATTCAAAGGTTACCAATTACGTCACGGAATACCCCTATGTATAGTTTTTCTATGAAAACAATTAATAATAATAAAAATACAGCACTAGCTGGGCATATAGTTTCGTAACTGACCCAAATAAAGCAAAATTATCTTCGCCCTTTTTTCATTTTAGCGCTTTGGGAAATCAGTTCTCGGACGGTTTACACCGAAACGATCAGATGGACGCGGGAAGTCGCAAGGTTGCATTGCGACGAATGCGCCCTTTTCACCTTCCACTCAATTCTCATTTTACAAAACATCTCGCAGAGCTGAACTTTGAACTTTAACCCAATTAAGTTTCCAACAGAAGCACTCATCGCGAGCGGTAGCGTTGCAGCGCTTCATCGTCCTCGCGACGGACTGTCGTCGATCGATCGATTCCAAGTTCTCGATCGACTGGCTTGTAGAGCGCGCTGTCTTCCTTTCCCACACCCTCCAGTGCCCTTGATTGCCCTCGATCGCCTTGGACGATTTCATGACCGGATGAAACCCACCGGGTAAAACGTCAACAACCGCTCAAATATATATATGAATATTTTAAATCGGGTCTGGCTGCTTCCATGGTCTGGACTGGAATCCGGATGCAATCGCACGCTGGATTGGCCATGGCGTTTTCAAGCTCCTCTCCAAGCTCCTTCCGGCAGACTCATGCCACCGTGAAATCACAATTGTGGATAAAGGCAGCAGGGCATTTTTCTTCATATAATGAATGAGGGATTCCGGGAAGCCAGCCATCCGGAATTCTGATAACCCGATCATCCCGAATTCCACGAAACCGATCTGAGATTCCGGTAAGCCGATCATTCGGTAGTTATCGCGGTACGACAGCAAAGTCGTCCAGGGCGAACTCGAAAATCTTTTCAAGAATACTTGAATTCCATTTTGGGCTCTTGAGAGCCTCCGCGAATACCTTTGCCGCTCTTTGCGCATTGGATCTGGAATTGCATCAGAGAGGGATTAATGAAGCTAATCCAGACTGTTCAGTTTCCTAACGATATCGTAAGTGGGGAGGGGGGGAGAGCGAGGGGTGCAAAAGAGAGGCGAGGGGGAAAAGGAAGGGGGAGAGGGTGGAAGGGGAAGGGGGAAGGGCTGGAAGGCGGGAGGGAGGTGGAAGGAGGAAGGGGAGGGAAGGAAAGTGGCA